GGGGTAGGGAAGCTCAAGAACCTCTTTTTGTGCTTTGCTGGGATAAAATTCCAGAACTAACATTGCATGAGCCCAAGGCTTTTTATCCAAAGGTTCTTTTGAGGCTGCTTAAATGGAAACTTCATGGAAAGTTGAAGAATTAAGGTATTTCTGCTCTTGCTTGAGAAATGGAAACTGAGGAATGCAGCTTGCACCAAAAATGTGGAGGATTTCCACAAAGAGGGAGTTTTACTCGGGTTTTTTGCAGAATATTGAGAGGGGAGGAGGGGAATTACCACTCATTTATTTAATTTGTTATAAAATTTCCCTCTCAAAACTCATCCTGCAAGCTGAGCCACCAGCGTGGCTTTGAAGTTGATCGACATTCTCTCTCTGCTTCTCCTCCCTGTCAAAACAACTAAAAAAAAGACAAAACTCCTTGCCAACACCAAACCATTCAAGGGTCCAAAACACACCAAGCAAACAAAGGAGTCGTTAAACCCAACCTCCCCTGTTTGAAAACTGGGAACACAAGACAACATTGTCAGGCCGGGCTTTGTCCCCGTGCCAGTGACATGGAGATGTCTCTCTTCTGACTCAGTGAAAAGGAATCACCAGAGCACAAGACATGATGTTTGCAAGTGTAAAACAGCTCAAGAAATCTCAATTTCACCACTTGTCGTTTCTTTTGGGTGCTTTTCTTTCGTGGTTACTCCTCCTGAGCAAGCACAGAGCACAAGCAAGTCAAAGTTCCAACTGTTGAAAAACTCTTTCCTATCTTATCTAGATTATAAACACCACAGAATAGCACAAAAAGGGATTTTTTTTTTCCTTTCATAACAACTATCCTTACAGTTCCTTTTGCATCTTATTTCCTAGAACCTCTTCTTTCAATGCTCAGCCAGCTGCTAAAAAAGAATTGAATGCCACAGCAAAAACCCAAATAAATTGGCTTCTTCACTGCCTGTTTCTCATCTTGTGAGCACTTGCAGCAACTTAAAAAGGAGGAGACAGAAGCAGCTCTGCATGGATGCTTTTCTGGGAATCTGCGTTTGGAATTTGGGATGTTTTGTGTCCTGTGAGTCCAGCTCAGGTCTCTCTTTGCACCATTCCCAAACCTCCATCCCGAGCCCAGCCCATTTGCAGGAGGAGCTGGTGAACAGGAGCACAGAGACCCTCCCGGATGAGTGCTGGGATCCCACAGAATTTCCCAGGACACAAATCCCCCATCTCTGGGCTTGGGATGGTCCAGAGGAATCCATGGAGCTGCTGCAGGGCTGGAGCCCCTCTGGAGCCAGGCTGGGAGAGCTGGGGGTGCTCACCTGGACAGGAGAAGGATCCAGGGAGAGCTGAGAGCCCCTGGCAGGGCCTGAAGGGGCTCCAGGAGAGCTGGGGAGGGACTGGGGACAAGGCAGGGAGGGACAGCACACAGGGAATGGCTGTGAGCTGAAAGAAGATGGATTTAGATGGGATATTGGGGAGGAATTCCTGGCTGGGCTGGAATTCCCAGATCCCCTGGATCCCTGGCAGTGCCCAAGGCTGGGCTGGAGCAGCCTGGGACAGTGGAAATGTCCCTGCCATGGCAGGGGTGGCACTGGATGAGCTTTAAGGCCCTTTCCAACCCAAACCATTCCAGGATTCAACTCAGAGAGCCCCTTGGATCCCCTCTGTGCCAGCTCCCTGCCATCCATGAGGAGCTCCTGCCTTCCAGCAGCAGCCCTGTGCTTCTGGCTCCTGGCTTTTGCTTCCCTTTCCACACTGAGCAACACCAGTCCAAAAAAGAAAATATTAAGCCAATAATCAGAAGAACTTGGGAGTTTGAGCAAAGCTGCAAGCACTGATTCTTTTCCTTGCAGGAGGGTGTTTATGAGGCTGCAAATCTGCATTAAGAGAAGATGCTTGAAGATCTACTACTTTGCATTAATCTAAGGAAATTAATTAAAAAAACAAACAGCAGCTCCCCATGCCTGGAGGGATTTAAAATCCCTGTGGATGTGGCACTTGGGGACATGGGGCACTGGTGGCCTTGGCAGTGCTGGGCATGGTTGGACTCGATGACCTGAGAGAATTTTTCCAGCATTAATAATTCCATGATTTTCAGTTCAGCTCCCCACAGCAATCACCCTGCCAGACAGACAAACCAGTTCCCAGTGTCCCCATCACTGGTGACACTGGATTGTCCATCCAGACTGTTCCACTCCTCAGCTGCAAACAGCAGCTGCTCTGCCCCACAGGAAACCATCATTTAAAACCAGGGAAAAAAGAAAAAAAATGAACATAGGAGCAGGCAGACATCTGGGAAGGCCCAACGAGCTTGGACATGGCCAGGGCACCTCAAGGATTTCACCTTCAGGCTCTGACCCTGAATTTTACAGACAGGAGATTCTTCTGTCCCACCAAAACCCAGCAGCACATTCTTTTCCCTGAGATGGATTTTACCCCACCCTTCTCCTTCCTGAGGAATTCAGATCTCTTTTCCCAACTGAATTATTCCCAACCACTGCCCACCTTGGGAGTTTCAACTTTGGCATCACTGGAAGAAGTCTAAAACATTTATAATATTAATATTTTCACTATTAAAAAAAAAAAAATATGTACAGAAGGTGGGTGGTGGTTTTCTCTTTGCTCTTATTAAGCCAAAATCCCAAGCACCTTATTTTCCTGTCTGTGTCTTACACTGCTCCCTAATCCTTGTCCCCAATTATCCATCTGCAGCCTGCATGAAAGATAAATCACATCCCCCAGTTCAGGAGCAACTTCAATTGCCAAATCACTCGGAATCACAAGCACACCTGAGGGGTGGATTTGGTTCTTTAAGCTGTTGTAATTTCATAGTTGGCAAAGAAAAATGGCTTTGCAGTGAGCTGGGAGAAATTAGGAATTTATCAGCCTGGAGTGCTCAGATGAACAAGAGAGATCCAAGTGTGGAGTTCAGGTTTGGAACAGAGCATCACACCCAACACAGAAATTTTTAAAATTTTGTTTTGGAACAAGCACCAAACAGTCCTTATTAAATAAAGAGGTTATTTTAAAATATATATTCTATAAATAGAATTCAAGGGCCACATTAAGACCTGAGGGTTTTTTTGCTGCTCAAGTGCCAGGTGTGTTGTTCAGAGCACCTGTAAAATTGAGGCAGTGAGAGTGAATGGAAGAAAAAAAAACTCTGGCTGAGACAGATCCCTTAAAAATCAGCTCCCAAATCCCAGAGCCAGCCCTTGATCCAGCCCATGTGTTTGGGAAGAACCTCCTGGAAACTGATAGAGGCCATTAATACAATTTAATGCTCTGGGCTAAAATCAGAGTAGCTGCAGAGTGGAAATGGCTGAATATTGCAGAAAACCTGTAAATAAAGGCATTGTCTGGCTGTCCACGAGCAGCTTTTTTTCTTTTTTTCTTTTTTTTTTTTTTTGCTCAGCAAAACCAAATTGAGCTGCACACAAATCATAGCCCAGGGTGAGGCTGGAGAGGAGCCCCAGCACCTGCCCACACCTGCCTGGGTGCCACCACCACCTCCTGCCACCACAGCAATGCTTCTGCTCCCTGCCCCTGCAGGAAATTCATCCACATAATGGCCTTGATGATAGACATTAACCTGCCTGCAGCATCTCACCATCCCAGCAGCTGTGAGAACCCAAATCTCTCTAACACAGCAGCCCACTGTGAGTAAGGAGCTGCTGGCACAGCCTGTGATTATGAGCAAATTGCAGCAGAGATGTTGGAGCAGCGAATTCAGAGACGTTGCTGAAGTTTGGGAGTTAAAAAAAAAAAGAAAAACCCCAAAGTTATAGAAAATCAAACACCAGCCTAAAAGAAGCCTTGGAAGTAAATTCAGATGGCAAAGGGGGAGAGGAAAACGTGACTGAAAGTGTTCAGGGAGGTTGGGCAGGGCTGGAGCAACCTGGGACAGTGGGAGGTGTCCCTGCCCATGGCAGGGGTGGCACTGGATGAGTTTTAAGGTCCCTCCAACACAAACTATTCCAAGATTTTGTGTTAGAGCAGAGAAAATGGAGGGGGAAAATCAAGGATAAGGCTCTCCCTGTCCTAGCCCAGCCATGGCTCATAAGGGGTTTTTTTTTTCCCTCAAAAAGAGGTTAGCAGGTTAAAAAAAGATGCTGTGTCTGAAGTGCTTGTGGGCTCTGGCCCAGCCCTGTCTTTCATGGAACAGTGCAGATGTTTTCATTGGGAATTACAGCGATGGAGTAAAGGGTTCAAACTGAAAGAGGGGAAATTTAGGTCAGGTTTACAGATGGAATTGTTCCCTCTGAGGGTGGGCAGGCCCTGGCACAGGGTGCCCAGAGCAGCTGTGGCTGCCCCTGGATCCCTGGCAGTGCCCAAGGCCAGGCTGGAGCACCCTGGGATAGTGGGAGGTGTCCCTGCCATGGCAGAGGTTTGGAATGGGATGAGCTTTAAGGTCCTTTCCAACCCAAACCATTTCATGATTGTGTCATTCTATGCTGCAGGACCCTGCTAGAACCCTGGACAAACAGCCAGGGTGTTTCCCTGCACCAGCCTGAGCTCCAGAAGTTCCCTGAGGATGCTCCTGGAGATGGGCACAGGTAAGGAACCAGAACCAGAGGGATTCCTTCACAGCATGGCCACGCTCCATCCCTGGTTATCCGGGCAAATTTGAACCTTTTGAGGTGAAGAGCTCTCTATCCCATTACCAGCCATAAAGACCATCTGCTCCCTTACTCCCTGATTAAAAAAAAAAATGGTGCACGCAGCGCATCATCCATCAGAATTAATCCAACTCACTTTGATGAGTGCCTTTTAGAGGAGGGGGGAGGAAACAAAAAAAAAAAAACAAAAAAAACAAAAAAAAAAACCCCAAAACCCAAAAAAACCTTAGGACGATTCTGAGAATTCAAAGATCCCAGAGCGCGGGGACCAACGAGCGAGCACCGAGGACTCTGCGGCGCTGCCTCCCTCCATCCCAGCGCTCCCGGACAAAGGGCCGCTTTTATCCCCCGTGGCTACCGAGCCTTCCCGGTGAGTCGCCAGCCGCGGCCCCGCCGTACCTGAGCTGTCCATGGTGCTGCCGTCGGCTCGGGGCTGCGGCTGCTGCTGCTGCTGCTGCTGCTGCTGCCGCCCGGGGCTCCGGGCCGGCCCCGCGGCCGCCCCGCCGCGCTCAGCGCCGCTGTCCACGAGCTGCAAGGATTCATAGCCGTCACTGCCCGCCTTTTTCCGGTAGCTCCCGAGCAGGCTCATGGGCGAGCCGGGCGGGCGAGCGGCTCCGGAGCCGCGGGAGGGAAGGAGGGATGGATGGAATAGGTGGATGGATGGAATAGATGGATGGATGGATGGAGGGAGGGAGGGATGGATGGAGGGAGGGAGGGAGGGATGGAGCGCTCCGGCCGCCCCGAGGGGAGGGGAAGGGCGGGCCGGCAGCGTGGCCGCCACCCCCCCCCCCCGCAGCCGCCGGAAGCGGGCGGGGAGGACGCGGCGCCCGGCAGGAGCATCGTGAGCTCGGGGAGCTGCCCCAGCGCCGGCTGCTGAGAGCCATTAGCGACAGAAAAGTGCTGGCTCCACACCATTCCCTTCTCCGGGCTGCCATCCCTGCGTGCAGCCTGGGAATCCTCTCATCCCGGCGCATCCAGCTCCAGGGATGGCTGCGCGGCAGGGGAGAGGCGGTGGCAGCGCTGGGGGACACCGAGATGTCGGTGTCACGGCGCGGAAAGGTGCCTTCCTTCCAAGGTCACCGCCTTCGGGGCTGGCACGGCCCGCTCTGCAGCCTGCGGGAGGAGGGGTGGCACAGCGCTGCTCCAGCGAGCCCCCAAAATCCTGGGGAGCATCCCCGGGCTCCTGGAACACCCAGCTGGGTGTGGGCGGGGAACCAGAGGGACCCCAGCGCCTGCATCCTGCTGGGATGATGCACCAGCATCCCAAGCCCTGGCTTGTGCCACCGCTGCCTCTGGCTCCCAGCAGTGCCACCGACTGCTAGAGCCATTTTTGTTGTTGTCTCCCACCTATTTTTAGCTGTTCGTATGAAAACAGACTCTGGACCAAGCCAGAGTGTGGCCCTGAACAAGTGATGAGCTGTGCCTTGCTCAGATGCAGTTTTCAGCCAGGGCTTGTACATCATAATTTCATTTTGCATGGAACAGAGGAACCGAGGGATGCTCCAAAGGAAATGAGCACTATTAAACTCTTCTAAGTGGATTTCTTCGTAATTTAAGGAAATCTAAAGGCTAAAGGAAGCCCTAGCATGCCTTTGATCTCTTGCAGAAAGGAAAGTTCTCTGCTCAAAAAAGAGCCCAGAATTCGTTTAGAAACAAATTTCTAAAGCAATGACATCAACAAGCAAGGCCAGGCTGGACAGGGCTTGGAGCCACCTGGGGTGGGGGAAGGTGTCCCTGCCATGGCAAGGGGTGGCACTGCATGAACTCTTAAGTTCCCTCCCAACCCAAATAATTCTGGAATTCTCTGATTCACTTGTGTAGCAACACCCAAACCTTGAAATATCTCTGGCACCTGGCTGAAATTTCCTGCTGAACTCTCTGGGGCAGCAGACATCAGCTCCAGCCATACCTTGTCATGTGCTGTTGTTTATGTAACCCCTGAGACTTTATGGCACGGAGCAGACAAGGTACATCTGTGACCCAGAATTTCCCCAGGAAAAAACCCCCAGATTTACAAGCAGCAAACCAAAAATGAACTGACCTGACGTGAGCAGCTCCCTGTCAGCAGCAGGGACAGCTTGAACTCAAGGTTGGGGTTGTGTTTTCTACCCCCCTTCCATACTTTGGTCTGTGTGGAGCAATTCACGGATTGCAACACTGGCCAGCAGGGATGGGCCCCTCCCTCTTGGCACCCACAAGCAGCAAGTTAATGAAATTAAAAATAAACACATTTCCTGAGCCCTTTTGTGTATTCTGAGCAACCTGGGCTAGTGGGAGGTGTCCCTGCCCGTGGCAGAGGGTTGGAACAGGATGGTTTTGAAGGTCCTTTCCAGCCCAAGCCATCCCAGGATTCCATGACCTTTATTAGGGATCACATTTCCTGGTCAGTCCAGGATAAAACAATTCCTGTGCTCTGGGATAAAGATGGGAAATCTGTGGGAGTGGAGATGAATTTTCATTTGTTTTACTTGCTCAGGTAAAGCCCAAACACATCAAAGCAGGTGGAGGAGGCACATGGAGGCTCTGTGACATTTCCAGGAATGCTCAAACCCTCCTGCTCCAGAGGAACCTGGGACAGCACAAACCCTGCAGAGCCTAAAACCCCTCCCCTGTGGTGTCCACCCTGCATCCAGCAGCTCCAGAGGCTCAAAACTCCTGATCCTCAATCCAGCAGCTCCTCCCTCACTGCTGAGCAGGCAAGGTTTGTCTGCCTCAGCTTTTTTGGTTTTTTTCTTTTTTTAATTACTCCTCCTTGTTGAATCTGCTACTGATTCTTTTCTTAATTCCTTTCTTTGTCTGAGATTTTGGGGGGTTCACAGAGGAACCACCACCCCAGCCTGAAGCTCCTGGAAAAAGGGAGTTGTGCAAAGCACAAAGGGACAGAGCAGCCACTGCAGAGGATCTTGGGGCAGAGGAGGGAGGAGGAAACAACCTCAAAGTCACACCTTTGCTTGTACAAACACCAGGAGATGGGATTAGGAAATCCTGTGGGGTTCAGGTGAAGCTGCACTCCTCCAGTGGGAAGTTTAGCTGAAAAAAAATACAAAATAATATTCCTCTCTCCCTCCCTTCTCCCTCCCTGGAAGTTTGGCCAAAGCAGGGCCACGTGGTTTCTCTGTTTTGGAGACCTACAGTATGAAAAATGCTATAACAAAAAAAAAAAAAAAAGAAAAAGAAAAAAAAGAAAAAAATCAAATAACTTTGGATTGCACGTGACTTTCAAAAGTGAAAAGGAAGAGGTAGGGAATGAGCCCCTCAGAAATATTTATTAACTGAGCAGTGGCTGGTGACAGATTTGAGGTGCCCTGACTGAGGGCAAGGCTGGAGGTGTTAAGGACAAGCTAAGGAGGATTTTTTGTTGCTCCACCCTCAAGAGATACAAACTCTCCCCATTCCTGACCTTGGAAAAAATTGATTTGCCAACCTCTGGCTGTTTTTCTCTGTCTGGGTTGCAGCCTCTCCTGGGTAAAGTCTCTCTTTGCAGCTGTAATCAAGCCCCAACTGTCCTGAGGTGCAATTCCATTTTCTGCACCTCTCCTCCCATCAGCTGAACAGCTCAGGTGAAATATTACACCCTGAATTCTTCAGGAGCATAATTAAACTGGGGAGTGTCACTAGAATTGCAAATAGAGCTTGAAAATTAATGTAAAACCTGCAGCAATACCTTTAAAACTCCCCATACCAAACATTTGTTCTGAAGTTTCTCCCCTGGGAATGCTGAAGTCGCCCTGCACAAAGGGGAGTTGTGGCCAAGCCCAGTTTTGGAGCCACAAAATCACAAGATCATGGAAAGGTCTGGGTTGGAAAGGACCTCAAAGTTCATGTCCCAGGGCAGGGATCACCTTCCCTGCCCTCTCAGCTGAGCTCCATTCATTCCTGGGACAGGGACAGGAGCATCCATCCCCCTGCACTGCTCTGGGAATGTGGCAGCACAACAACCCCGGGATGAGGGTTCAGAGCCACAAACTCCATCTCAAAGCAGTTTCCACACTTGTGCTGGGATTAAAAAGTGGGGTTTTCCCTGGGGTCAGGAATGGCCTTCCTCTGGATGAGGGAATTTATTCATTGGAATAAATTCATTCCTTCCTCTGGATGAGGGAATGATGTGTCCCTGCCTGCAGCAAGGAGCTGTCCCAGCCTGCCCCTGAGTGGTGGCTCCTCAGGCAGCAAAGCACATTCCCAGAGTGGGATGTGATATTCCAGGGAAAAACTGGGATGGTTTGTGGGGATCCAAGTGGAGAGAGAGGCATCAAATGATCCAATCCCTTCTTAATCCCATCCACATTCAGGAACTTCCAGACTGGCCCTGCCTGTGTCATTCATATCTAACCAAAAGCAAAGGGGGTTCTGAGCTGGTTTGGGCTGGGTTTAAATGTTAAACTCGATTTAACCTTTGCTGCAGTGAAGCCCAGCCCAATTCCCAGGGCCTGGCTGGCAGCTGGAGTGTTCCCTCTAAGGATGGACCCTTAGGATGACACAGGATGTGACAAATATTCAACTCTCAATGTCTTTTCTCCCCATCCTTTCCTCCCTGTGAGAGCACACCCATTAACTACACTGCTGTGTCAGCACATCTTTTATTTCTTGCCTTTCAGTCTTGTTTAAAAAAGCTGTCAGGGATGATCCACAATTTACTCATCCCAGCCCAGGACTCGGTTTTGGAGTGTTCAAAGATTTGCCTGGCTCCTCAGCAATGCTGAGCTGTGGAGCTGCCTGCCAAGGGCTGTTGTAGCTGCTAAAAATGTCCATGGTTCACAAAGAAAGAGGAGAAAGGGATGGGAAGTGGATCTACAAGAGGCCATTAAATAGGAAATGCTGGCTCAGGAAGTCCCCAGCCTGCAAAATGTTGGAAAATCAGAGGCTGCAAAGCCATTCACCATCAGGTATTTTGGTAAAAATCAGATATTTTGTGGCCTAACTGCTGTTCATTCATCATTTCCCATTCACTGTGAGGTAAGTGGTTAAATCCTGAGGAAAATCTGGGCACTGGGTGTTGTCTGCACTGGAAAATGGCTGGTGGGGAAAACAGGGAGGAAAATTATACAACCAAGTGTCATTGTGGGGTTGCATCAGCTGCAGCTGCTGAGCTCAGGGTGAGGCTCCAGCAGCAGAGAATTCCATGGAAATGCTCAGGTCATGGCTCTCAGGTAGCTCTGATCCCCTCAGGGAAATGAGATTTTCCATGAAAACAGAGGGAAATCCCAGCTGGGGGCTGCCACCCTCTGCCACCCCTGCACTGCAGGGTGGATGGGGTGAGGGTTTCCTGATGGGGGGTGATGTGTTCTCACTCCAAGCCTCACTGGCATGGATTGTCCTGGGGGATATTTAAGAAAGGCCCAGGGCAGGGAGGTACAGAAGGGTCTGAAACAACAAAACCTCACTGATGTGGTTCTAGCTTCTGCCAGAATTTTGGTTTTTACCTGAAACTAACAGGAGAAACGATGTTCTTAAAGCTTTGTTACCCTGGCTGACATAAAATATTTTAAAATTGTATTTATCTCAGCTTCTGGTGACTTACAGGTCCTGCATCACCCCTGAGTGTGAGGCAGTTTGGGTTCAGGTTTAGAAATGATCATCATTTCCAAAGGGTTCCTCTAACAG